AATTATGACAGGAATGGCTTTTGTCATGCATATCATTCCTTCCCTTCTTCTGCTTCAGACAATCTTGCTTCTTATTATTTTTTTATTTTCCTTTTTTCCCTTGATTTACGACATGCAAACTGTTTATCATATTGCAATGAGGGTAAATTTCCGCCCACGGTCACTAAACTTCAATTTGAATAAATTATCACTGTACTTTAAGTTGCAATCAACGAGGTCATTCCATTAATATTCTATTCAACCATCTAGTAGAATCGATGATGTGACCAATTAAAATTAACCTAATCTCCATGTATTATGTCAAGTCAACAAAGTAAATTTCACTTATGATCACAAAAAATATGTTATGTCAAAATTAATGGATAAAAATAACTTTTGGTTGCCATTATTTTTTTGTTATATATATAGGCAAAAATTCACTTACTAATTATACATATCACTTTTTAATTGCATACATATGCAAAAAATGACTAATTAATTATATATGGACAATTGACAAATTTCAGTTAATAAAAATGAATTATATATATAGACAAAACGCCACTTACCAATTATATTTAGGACCATGCTACATTCACGTAATGATTTACACAATCTTTTACACACACAACACGTGACGGCTCCCTATTGGAGGGGCGGCTGGCCCACCAGCCACCCCTCCAATAGGGGGCTGCCATGTGTTGTGTGTGTAAAAGATTGTGTAAATCTTTGTGTACAAATAGTTTAATCCTTATATTTATAGACAAAAAACACTTAATAAAAATTAATTGCAACCAAGTTTAGTGAGTGATTTTTGTCTTTATATAGTTAATTTTGAATAATAAACATTTTTTGTCAAATATATTTGTATATTCATATGTAATAACATGTTTTTCGTCCAATATATTTGATATGTTCATAAGTTTATTAGAAATTGTCTAATTTTTAAAAACTTGAAAATTGTTTAGTTGTGGAAATGATTAATAATCATAGTAATTGTGGTTTTAGTTATGCATGTATTGTTTTATTTATTTAATGTCTTGAAATAGTATTAAAAATTACAAACACATTTTTAAAACCCTGAAATTAAAGTTTAGTAATGTGAAACCTCGAATTAAAAGATTGATAACTTCATTGCAAGTAAGGTTAAAGTTCAGTGACCAAGGTGAAATTTACTTTGCTGACTTGATAGAACACATGGAAATTGGAGATTTTAATGTTTTTAACGATCATATCACCAATTCTATTAAGTGGTCGAACAGAAGCCTAATAGATATGTCTAATTGCTCGCAAATTAAAGT